TCTGAAGTTTACTGAAAGAAATTAATCATTTGGAGCAATTAGATCCTCTAAAGGTAAATGCTTTCTCCTCGTTTATTTAAGGTAGCGTACTACACACAGTTTTGGTTTGATATAAAAAGTTGGGTAAAAACCAGATTTGAACATTTTTCATTTTAATCCTCCCTAGTTATATGGAAACTAACACCGTTAGTAATATATGAGCTATTGTCATAATTTCTTGTGGTTGATCAATCCTGTATGAAAGGGTCCAAAGCTATTGCTTATGGATTCGGTAGCCAGCTAAAGAACCTTGGTAACTGGCGATTTAAATGAGATGCGAATAGAGCTGCTAGCTTCCACTCGCTCCAATCTGTTAGAAATCCCAAATTCTTGTCTGCAATTGCATTCTTTAAACCTGGAGAATATTCCGCTCTTGTGATGACACCACTATCTATGCAATATTGGCAGAAATGTTTCGCTATTTTAGAAAATTTGGGGGATTTTGTTCCTCTTATTTGATTAAGGCTTTTTCATAACTGATATGTTGTCCATTTTTAAAAGAATGCAACGTTTGATCGTTTCTTTCTCTGGACTCTGGAGTGCAAATAAAACTGCTGGAAGTTGCAGACAATTAATATGAAGATGTCTTTTTTTCCCCATCCCTATTACTCCTGTTTCTGATGTTCCACATTGTGAGCCCCATCCTTTTAAGCTGGTATCTGACTCTATCACCAGATCTGGTTGAGTCCCAAGAAAGGCCTTCCCATTCCAAGCAGTCATGTGTTTTAGCCACAGATAAGTTCTTCTTTGCTTCCATTGTTAAGATAATTGTAAAGAACCAGCATTATTTTCACTTAAAAAGACCTATATTCATGTACAATGGCTTCCCTGAAACTATGGCAGGCACTCCCAGCAAAAGCGCACTGACCACGACAAACCCAGCTCCCTCGGCATGCAGACCAAGGCTAGAGGGGGATCTAGCGCTATTTTGTGCCAGCCACATGGAACTGTGTTTGGCTTCAATTTTAACCCCGGCCGGTCAAGACTTAACCCGGGTAGTGCCTCCGCTACAAACCTCAGATTAGAGTGCTATTTTCACAGATTGGTCTATCAGGGGATTTAAACATGGTTTGCAGTGTTTAAACATGTTTTTAGAGCATATTTGTGTCATGCACCTGTGTGTATGGGAGATAACTGAATTAGTGACGCGTGTGTTGCAATCCTCTCCCTGCCACAGAGGCGCCCTCTCCCTGTCACCGAGGCTTACCTATGCTTCTGCTGAAGACCCGATGCTGTGTATATAAATCCATGTTTCACTCAATAAAGTGTCCATTATTTTCACCCTTCCTCAAGTCTTGGCTGATGTTTGGGTGAGGGCTATAATCATCAACTACTTTGCAGTATCAGGGAGAGGTTCTTAGTGGAGGTACTCAGCCGAATAGCAAAGCTCCCCTACAGTAATCTTGCCCGAATATATTAAGCCTTTTAGTCTTTGTAATGATAGTGAAGAGGTGTCCTTCAAGACTGAGTGTTTGATTTAATGAGTTGATCAGGAATGCAAGAAATACTATTTGTTGACTTGATTTTTCAAGTTGATGTGAAAGCCAAGTTTTTGAAGGTCTAGTGCTATTTCAAATGTAACTTCATTGTCAGTGCATCCTTTGTCAATTGCTTTTCTGGGGCCCTTCTCGTATTTAGTTAAATACTGTACTATTCTCGGGTCTAAATCTGGGGTCGTAGAAGTCTTTTTGGTTGGTTTTGGGCATTAAGCTGTGGTTTTATTTCTGACCAATCTATCTATCAGTTTGCAAATCCAAGTTCCTCTAAACTTAGGCATCTTCTCAGATGATCTTGGATGCTTTAATCATTCAGGGTGGAACAATGGCTTAACTTGTTTGTCAACTAATTCTGACATTCAGCATTATGTAATGGCATAGCTTTTTTTTTTTTTTTTTTTAGATAGTCTCATTGGATCCATAATCAGACATATCTGATGTATGATAGTCACAATCAATTCCTGAAAATGCTGAATTCTGAATCCAAAAATCAGGATAAATTACCTTTTTTCCAAGGAAAAGGACTTACGGCTAGGACATACTGGAGGGAGCAAAACTACCACCACTGACTAATTTCGGGACTACTGGCACTTCATCAGAGACTCTAAATCAAATACAGTCTCTTCCTAATTTTCTTCAGAATAATTCTGTTTTCTTTCATTACACATTCTGTTTTCACATTACACATTTCATTCTTGTTTTTAAATGTTTTTAATATTATTTTTCCCACTTATATACTGAATATATATTCTAGTTTTTAATATATTTTTCATATTATTTTGTCGATTCCTAACCTTATTATACACCCTGTGTGTAAAGCGGAACACACTTGCCCTCCAGGAACTTTTAAGGAAATTCTGAACATTGCAATCGTACAGGTGGAACATGACGAAAACATGGGTGGAACACAACATGAATTCCAGAGAGTGCAAATGGCGAGCACAGAACCAATCAAGGACGGATTACAGCGGCAACTAAAGGGCTTTAGAAGTGATGGTTTTCAAACACTGCCTGATACAAGGTGCATGTACATGGCCAAAGAATGCTGCCTTATACTAAAGGAATGAGTTTTTCTATTTTATTTTACATATATTTCATTTTAAATAACCTATTTCCTTTAAATATTTGATCAAAGGATTATTGTATTAAAAATAGTTTTTAGGTGACAGTTGTGCTTTACGCCCCTGGCCACTTCTAATAATCTGTAACGTGCCTCTTCGACCATAGTTAGATATGATTCAGGATTAGCATGTTCGGCCTGGTGTTATCGAGACAGAGTAGCAATTCCCCTTCAACTCTGTGCTATTATTTCCTGGTTTGAATTTACTATGTCTGCTCTATGAAGACTTATTTTGGGGGTGATCGCTTACAGTTTATGCATGGCATGGTTATAAAACCCATTTGCTGGAGGAAAAGTTACTGCTTTACATTTTTCTGGAGCTAATCTGCTACGCAATAGCGAGATGTGTTTCAATAGTACGATGAATTGGCCGTTTTATTGCTGCAATTTACTTTGAGTGCCTGTAAGTGGGTACAAGTGGGAAGTGTATATTCATATTGAAGTGAAGCTTTTTTACAGAAAACAATGAGATTGCGTTTTTTTGCCTAATTATCACAAATGTTCCTGCGGATTCAGATGTGAAATAAAACAGCCCAATATCAATGAGCCACGAAGGCCGGGTTAATTACCTTGATCTCTCTTTTTTTTTATTATGACTCATATTATTGTTCTTATTATCTTTTTATGTCCTAATGTTAGTAGATAATATTCCGTGTTCATGTATTGTAATGCAGTGGGAATGTGCACTTAGTGTCTATAGAGACATGGACACGAAACGGAGAACGGCTGGAAATGGACCGGTAAAACACGTAAATGAATAAAAAAATAAAAATAAAAACGTTCATTTGTCAAATGACAATGAGAAAGTCTGTATATTGCATTTTGTCCCCCAATCTTCCCAAAAAGAACAGTGTAGCATCTTGTGCTTCGAACATAAAAACTCCCACAATGCACTTGGCCTTTTGGATCTCTGGACTCTTCTAATTTCACGCAAAGTGTTGATAAACAAATTGTGAATGAACACATTTATTATCAAGTTATTCACAAAAAATTATAAGCAGAATCGAAATGTGTTTTGAAAAGTGGTGGTATGTATAGATAGCACAGTTTGTTTAATTATTATTATTATTATTACTTTTATGATATTTATATAGCGCCATCAAATTCGGCAGTGCTTTACAATGGGTGGACGAACAGACATGTAGTTGTAACCAGACAAGTTGGACACACAGGAACAGAGGGATTGAGTGCCCTGCTCAATGAGCTTACATGTTAGAGGGAGTGGGGTATAGTGACAGTAACAGAGGGATTGAAGTCCTGCTCAGTGAGTTTACATGTTAGAGGGAGTGGGGTATAGTGACAGTAACAGAGGGATTGAGGCCCTGCTCAGTGAGTTTACATGTTAGAGGGAGTGGGGTATAGTGACACAGTAACAGAGGGATTGAGGCCCTGCTCAGTGAGTTTGCATGTTAGAGGGAGTGGGGTATAGTGACACAGTAACAGAGGGATTGAGGGCCCTGCTCAGTGAGTTTACATGTTAGAGGGAGTGGGGTTTAGTGACACAGTAACAGAGGGATTTAGGGCCCTGGTCAGTGAGTTTACATGTTAGAGGGAGTGGGGTATAGTGACACAGTAACAGAGGGATTGAGGGCCCTGCTCAGTGAGTTTACATGTTAGAGGGAGTGGGGTATAGTGACACAGTAACAGAGTGGTTGAGGGCCCTGCTCAATGAGTACATGCTAGAGGGAGTGGGGTATAGTGACAGTAACAGAGGGATTGAGGGCCTGCTCAGTGAGTTTACATGCATGTTGGTGGGAGTGGGGTATAGTGAGACAGTAACAGAGGGATTGGGGGCCTGCTCAGTGAGTTTACATGTTAGAGGGAGTGGGGTATAGTGACACAGTAACAGAGGGATTGAGGGCCTGCTCAGTGAGTTTACATGTTAGAGGGAGTGGGGTATAGTGACACAGTAACAGAGGGGTTGAGGGCCCTGCTCAGTGAGCTTACATGTTAGAGGGAGTGGGGGTACAGTGACAGTAACAGAGGGATTGAGGGCCCTGCTCAATGAGCTTACATGCTAGAGGGAGTGGGGTATAGTGACACAGTAACAGAGGGGTTGAGGGCCCTGCTCAGTGAGTTTACATGTTAGACGGAGTGGGGTATAGTGGCAGTGGACACAGTAACAGGAGGGATTGAGGCCCACTCAGTGAGTTTTACATGTTAGAGAGGGAGTGGGGTATAGTGAGAGTAACAGAGGGGTTGAGGGGCCTGCTCAGTGAGTTTACATGTTAGAGGGAGTGGGGTATAGTGACACAGTAACAGTGGGATTGAGGGCCCTGCTCAGTGAGTTTACATGTTAGAGGGAGTAGGGTATAGTGACACAGTAACAGAGGGATTGAGGGCCTGCTCAGTGAGTTTACATGTTAGAGGGAGTGGGGTATAGTGACACAGTAACAGAGGGATTGAAGTCCTGCTCAGTGAGTTTACATGTTAGAGGGAGTGGGGTATAGTGACACAGTAACAGAGGGATGGAGGGCCTGCTCAGTGAGTTTACATGTTAGAGGGAGTGGGGTATAGTGACACAGTAACAGAGGGATTGAGGCCCTGCTCAGTGAGTTTACATGCTAGAGGGAGTGGGGTATAGTGACACAGTAACAGAGGGATTGAAGGCCCTGGTCAGTGAGTTTACATGTTAGAGTGAGTGGGTTATAGTAACCCAGTAACAGAGGGATTGAGGGCCTGCTCAGTGAGCTTACATGTTAGAGGGAGTGGGGTATAGTGACACAGTAACAGAGGGATTGAAGGCCCTGGTCAGTGAGTTTACATGTTAGAGGGAGGGTATAGTGACACAGTAACAGAGGGATTGAGGGCCTGCCTAGTGAGGTTACACAAGGAGGGAGGGGTAGCAGTGACACAGTAACAGAGGGATTGAGGACCTGCTCAGTGAGTTTACATGTTAGAGGGAGGGGTGGCAGTGACACAGTAACAGAGGGATTGAGGGCCTGCTTCCAGTGAGTTTACATGTTAGGGAGGGAGAGGGTATAGTGACACAGTGTTTGCTGATTGAGGGCCTGCTCAGTGAGTTTACATGTTAGAGGGAGGTATAGTGACAGCAATAGAGGGGATTGAGGGCATGCTCAGTGAGCCATGCTAGAGGGAGTGGGGTATAGTGACACAGTAACAGAGGGATTGAGGGTCTCTAAGCCCAGTGAGTTTACATGTTAGAGGGAGTGAGAGCAGTGACAGAAACAGTGGGATTGAGGGCCTGCTCAGTGAGTTTACATGCTAGAGGGAGTGGGGTATAGTGACACAGTAACAGAGGGATTGAGGCCCTGCTCAGTGAGTTTACATGTTAGAGGGAGTGGGGTATAGTGACACAGTAACAGAGGGATTGAGGGCCTGCTCAGTGAGGTTACATGTTAGAGGGAGTGGGGTATAGTGACACAGTAACAGAGGGATTGAGGGACCTGCTCAGTGAGCTTACATGTTAGAGGGAGTGGGGTATAGTGACACAGTAACAAAGGGATTGAGGGCCTGCTCAGTGAGTTTACATGTTAGAGGGAGTGGGGTATAGTGACAGTAACAGAGGGATTGAGGGCCTGCTCAGTGAGCTTACATGTTAGAGGGAGTGGGGCATAGTGACACAGTAACAGAGGGATTGAGGGCCCTGCTCAGTGAGTTTACATGTTAGAGGGAGTGGGGTATAGTGACACAGTAACAGAGGATTGGGGGCCCTGCTCCGTGAGTTTAGATGTTAGAGGGAGTGGGGTATAGTGACACAGTAACAGAGGGATTGAGGGGCCTGCTCAGTGAGTTTACATGTTAGAGGGAGTGGGGTATAGTGACACAGTAACAGAGGGATTGAGGGTCCTGCTCAGTGAGTTTACATGTTAGAGGGAGTGGGGTATAGTGACACAGTAACAGAGGGATTGGGGGCCTGCTCAGTGAGTTTACATGCTAGAGAGAGTGGGGTATAGTGACAGTAACAGAGGGATTGAGGGCCTGCTCAGTGAGTTTACATGTTAGAGGGAGTGGGGTATAGTGACACAGTAACAGAGGGATTGAGGGCCCTGCTCAGTGAGTTTACATGTTAGAGGGAGTGGGGTATAGTGACACAGTGACAGAGGGATTGAGGCCCTGCTCAGTGAGTTTACATGTTAGAGGGAGTGGGGTATAGTGACACAGTAACAGAGGGATTGAGGGCCCTGCTCAGTGAGTTTACATGCTAGGGGAAGTGGGGTATAGTGACACAGGAACAGAGGGATTGAGGGCCTGCTCAGTGAGCTTACATGTTAGAGGGAGTGGGGTATAGTGACACAGTAACAGAGGGATTGAGGGCTTGCTCAGTGAGTTTACATGTTAGAGGGAGTGGGGTATAGTGACACAGTAACAGAGGGATTGAGGGCCATGCTCAGTGAGTTTACATGTTAGAGGGAGTGGGGTATAGTGACACAGTAACAGAGGGATTGAGGCCCTGCTCAGTGAGTTTACATGTTAGAGGGAGTGGGGTATAGTGACACAGTAACAGAGGGATTGAGGGCCTGCTCAGTGAGTTTACATGTTAGAGGGAGTGGGGTATAGTGACACAGTAACAGAGGGATTGAGGGCCTGCTCAGTGAGTTTACATGTTAGAGGGAGTGGGGTATAGTGACACAGTAACAGAGGGATTGAGGGCCTGCTCAGTGAGTTTACATGTTAGAGGGAGTGGGGTATAGTGACACAGTAACAGAGGGATTGAGGGCCTGCTCAGTGAGTTTACATGCTAGAGGGAGTGGGGTATAGTGACAGTAACATAGGGATTGAGGCCCTGCTCAGTGAGTTTACATGTTAGAGGGAGTTGGGTATAGTGACAGTAACAGAGGGATTGAGGGCCCTGCTCAGTGAGTTTACATGCTAGAGGGAGTGGGGTATAGTGACACAAAAAAGTAAGGATAATGAACAAATATAATAATATTTCTTGATTCTTGTTTATAGATAAGAAAAAAATATAAATCAGAGATCAATGACAAAGATTAGAAAATAAAAATAAGTAATGTTCGCTGATATGCAACATTGTACTATTTTGTGTTCTTAATGTATGCTGTTATACTCCCCTTGTACCACATTGTCCAACATGTGCCATAATAATGACTTACAAGCAATTATCCACATTTAATCCCTTACATTAACTGGGCACATCCAACGATGCACTTGCACTGCCCTTAATGTGGCATTTTCTGGTCTCCCCACAAACAGAACTTTGGGGAACAAATTCAAGATACATGTCGAACACTAACTGGGACTATACCGCTCAACCCAAGATAGTGTTGGGATGGGCAACAACAACAAGATGGAAAAAGATCTAAATGAATTTAAATGAATAATCACAAAATTTATTGTTTTTCCATCTACACAAACTAACACCCGTTTGGCTGTATTTACCACAGGTAAAGCTGTACAGAAGATATCCATGAATTGCATCAAATCCTCAGTAACAATTGCTGCTTTAAAAAGACAGAAAACAAAGAGAAACTGCGATGGACCAATTAAAATCTGTCATTTGCTGTTTAGTTTCCAGCCTTCCACTGTGCAGGAAACAGGAAAAATGTTCTGTGAACTCTCTGATGATATGCCCAGGAAACGCAAAAATATGCTAACTAAAATATGCTTATTTAGCTCTCTTAAAAATATCACAAGCAATATGACATGTACAGACCATATCTGGATACAGACCCACTTGATTTTTTTAATCTTAATTTTCAATTCACTTTAACCTACCTATTGTTCCTATTCTGTTTATAATGATGTGTTTTAGTGGCATGTTACATTAATTGGGAAGTTTAAAATGTAGCCTATTCTACTAATTTAAACTATGGAATCCGCACTCAATTCTGGCTTAAACCATCCTGCATCTGTAGCTAGTGAGGGATAGACACCCTCCCTCCAAGTAGCAGATAATTGGAGGATGGCTGAGGATGATAGAGAACTGGCACAGTTTGCTATATCTCCTGGGAACAAACACTACATCATAATGTATGAAGGAAACAGCTTGTGCTGCCTGTCTGATGGCCGCTGTCAGGAGTTACAACACTCTACCCCCACTACACAAGCAGGGTATACCATCTTTCCCTGAAAAAAAGACCAGGTCTTATATTAATTTTTACTCCGAAAAATGCACTAGGGCTTATTTTCCAGGGATGTCTTGTTTCAGTGAAAAATGGTAGCAAGCATTGGGGTCATTCCCTCGAACATAGACCAGTTCACTACGCCGTGGAATCCCGCAAATCTATGTTCGGGGAAACTTTCCCGAACATAAATTAGATTACTTGCTAATGAAATCTTGCGTATCTAGGTTTGGGGAAAATTCCCTGATCATAGATTAGCAAACTGGCAACTAGCGACTAGGGCTTATTTTTGGGCTAGGGCTTATGTTACGGGCATCCCCCAAAAATAAGCTAGGGCTTATTTTCAGAGAATGTCTTATGTTCGGGGAAAACGTGTATGTTTCTAACAATGTACGTGTGTGTGACAGCATGTGTCTGTCTGCATGTGACTATGTGTCTGACTGTGTATTTTGATGAAAATGAGAGTGTGTATATATGTCTCTGACATTGTGTACCTGTGAGAACGTGTGTCTGTGTGGTGGCAGTGAATATCTATATGTATGTTTTTTTCTGGCAGTTGTATTAGTATCTATGTATGTGTATGTGTCTGCATGAACTTGTGTATATGTGTGCTTGTATGGGAGTGTGTATGTACCTGCATTTATCAGTGTATATATGTGTGTGCATGTATTAGAATTTGTGTGTCAAAAGAAGCAACATGGCTGCAATGAGGGGGATATGGTATGGGCAGCTTTATGGCAGTGTTACAACACATTAATATAATTATACAATATGTATACATCCATTTATAACACTGATTCCTTGTCTGTAATTTCTTTATTTGGTATAATACATTTTTTTTTTTATGTTTTTCTGTCCAACTCAAATTTTTGTAAATAAATCATTTGGAAAGTTTATCTGACAGTATTGAATCATTTGGAAAGCTTATTAAATCGAGGCTATAATTCAATGTTTTCCAATTTGTTTCTTGTGGCAGGAAATAACAGTTTTTGAAAGCATAAAGAGAGCATTCGAGATGACGTTTTCCTATAATTTCCTCTGGTTTTTTTTCCCACCAAAGTGGGAATTGTGGAGAATAAACAAGGAAGCTGCAAATGTTCGGACAAAATATTCAATATGGAAACGATACCTGAGCTGAATTGGAGAGTATTTCCAAGTCTGTATTTGTGTCTATAATTCGTAACATCGTTGTCATTTGTCCACATTCCTTGGTAGAACGAATAACCCTGCACGTGTTTGCCTGTAAAAGTTGTTTTTTCCCTGGAGAATAGAGTGCAGGAAACCTGGACTGTACGGCCTGATGTTTGTACCAGGGGAACGGTGAACAGGTGTAAGTTTGCAGTGAGTGAGATCAGCACATAGGGCCACTTGGTGGACAGGGAGGCCTACATTCCAACGTTTATACAGAAAGGTTTGGCTGATCCTCCAAGTGGCAGATTACTGCAGCTGTTTCTCTGCAACTTCCTCTTAACAAGTCTGGGGTCAGCATTAAATTAGTTGAATTTACAGCACCTTAAACCCTTGCACCAAGAAAGGTTTGAAAACTGACAAGTGAAACTAGAC